CTTTGCAGGGCAACTCAATGATTTCCAGCAATTGAGAAGCTCGAATCCAAGCACGTGACGGGGCACGCCCATCAGCCTCCAAGCGAAGCAGTGTCCAGACACTCCCAAGCGGAATACTGCGAACTTCCGATGCCCAGAACCATCAAGAGCCGTGCCCCCAGTTTGAAGCTCCGCTCTTCCCGAAAGACGCCCACCCCAAAAGAAAACCCGGGAACCGAGGTCCATGGAGCCTGGCCTGCGGGGCCTGCGGGGCCCTCGGAGCTGCCCACCTGGGCTTCAGATGTTTCTCACCCCGAAACGGAGCAGAGAGTGTTCCGGGAGCCCGGATCGACTCCCAAAGCGGCGTCGGCTTTCTTTTGCAGCTTCTCCAAGAAAAACTGAAAAGAAGAAGATGGGAGTCAACTCCAAACGACACCGTCGCAGCCCTGGCCCCCAGCGGCTGCGTCACCACCTCTTGCGCTGCGCTTCGTCGGGCCTGCGAAAGGCGCACAGGTCGGCTGGAGCGAACCCAGCGGTTGGCCATCCCAACACAAGTGGAATGTTTGGATCCCCCAAAATATTCGGCACATCCCAAATGGAATCCTGTTTGGAGGATCAGATGGAATCCAATTCGGATCCCCCATATCTTTTTCTCGTAACCTCTGTGAAATGTGAATCGAACCTCATGTCAAACCTCATGTCACGAGCACGGCTTTCATTTTTGCTGGAAACTGGCTGCAGCGACCTCTGCTCTGGGCGACGGTGGTCGCACACCTGGGGCCAGGTTCCGCGTCAACTACTTCGAGGTGAAATGGCAATGGGTCAAAACCCCGTACCCCCAGTCACTAAAATAGGTTCTAAAATGGGTGGTGCACCTACCCCACAGCCAAATGGCTCCGCTCAGCTGTCTGGTCTAAGATCTTTGCCGTTGGAGCCATTGGGATTGATCGACGCGGTCACCTCCAGGAGATCCTGCTGAACATCCAATGCGCCGAAGGATCTCTTGGTTTCGCCAACATCGACGCAAGCTCGAAAGCGTTCACCCGCTTGCAAGACTCGCGGTATTGAAAGTCCTCAAGGCTCCACTGCTTCTGACTCGTCGTCCATCCCCACAGGCCTCAGTGAAGCGCCAAGCAGTTGGCTCTAGTCATCAATGCTCAAAAGCTGGCAAGGAAAAATGACCTTAACCACTGCACAAACAGCGAGCCATGTTTAAAAAAGACGGGCAGTGCCAACTGATGTTTTCCAGTCTGTCATGCTGCTTTCTGCCAAGTGTCACAGCACCCCAATGCGGCACGCACATCGCGCGGCCTACAAGCTTTGCATCTGGCCCTACGATAAACTGATAGTGTCTCGTCTTTGGCCAGGCATGCCACTGACTGACTCACTTGATCTGCGATGCACACACTCCCCCAGTCCACCAAGCAAGCGAAGTGCGCACTCATGTTGGCCTCGACGCGGTGTTTCTGCGGAAACTGGCGCAAGAAGCTGCCGATGACCTGCGTGTGTTTTTGCGGCAACATAGAAGATTATGCCTGGGTTACACTTGGGACTCGACACAGTCATTGAACCTCTGAGCAAATCTGCTTGCCACAAACCCAGCCTCACAGGATAACCAATCCGAAAGTCTCATGATGGCATCTTCTTCCGGCATGCCTTGCATCGCACCCTCTCCGAATTGCCAGAAATATGTCTACATTCGCACCGCAAAACATCACGAGGTAATGCAAATCATGGAAGCCCAGGCACCGGAATGCCCCAAGCTTATAGCTGCCATGCGGCCGTGCCTTGCCTTGACATACACGTGCGCTCTGGTCCAATTTGCCACGCAGCGCAGCACTGTGCAAGCAGGCTTTGAGCTTGCAAACCAAGCTGCCAAAGAAAGCGATGAAGCGTGCTGCGCAGCAAGCAACAGTCACTCCCTCCGAAATGTACGTTGCTTACTCCGAGATGCCTATTTGGTTGTCAGCATGCAAACAATTTGACGAATGTTGTCTCTCTTGCTCTGCGGCAGCTGCATTTGTTTGAGCAAATCCTGCAGCGCTGATACGCACATCCAAATTGACAGCGTCGTAACAGCAAACTTAATCAGAGCTAGTTCGCATCCACAGAATGAGTCCTTGCACCTCATGCCAAAAGCGTGTAGTGCTTGCTTGCTTGACTGGGTCTTTCATAACCCTCATTTGACGTTCGCATAATCCAGCTGACCATGGTCAGCACCTGGCCCAAGCCTGGCAGTGCTGGGCTCGCCCAGCGGGCGCTAGCCACGGTCCCTCTGCGGCTACGTCCTGATCATCGCGTGACGGCCACACCGTGGCGCTCTGCGTGGCCGGGTAGCTCATGTTCCTAACCTCCCTGGCAGCTTTGATGCAGTGGTGAGCTTGATGTATACATGTCTCAGTACTGTTGGCAATGGAGCATATTGATGAACTTTGGAGTGGAGGAATCGGAGAGTGAAGCCAGGCTATTCACAGAATGGCTCCAGATCATGAGGTCATGAGGCGCGGCTTGCTTGCAAACCCAGCATACAGTGGAGGCTGCTTGCAGCGAATCGCGGCATGGTGGTCATGTCCTCAGACTGGACCATCGATGGGGTTACGAGGCTCCGTCCAGCTGTGCCGTTGGATTGATCACCTATGTGTGAGCGCGCGTTGTCGTCAGAGGGAATGTGGGGCACAGGGTAGTCCGCATGTCTGCAGTTCCTCATGGCTACGTTTGCTGGAAGTTCATCATTGAGGTTGGTTTCCCTTTTGATCCCTGTCACTTTGAGAACATGTTGACAACATTGTCAAGCGGCCTCATTGGCTGGTGATTTGGCACTCAGCTGTTGTTGAGAATCTCAAGGTGTGCTGGCAGAACGCCGAGAACCTGCAAGGCATTGGACTGCCAACCCCTAGGGCAGGGCAGGTATCTGAATCGAGGTGGTCAGGGACCTTCGTCGGAGCTGATTCCTGGTTTGTCGTCTTCCGCAAGGAGTTATGCCAGGGTCTCTCTGGCTGAACTTGTTCGCAAGTCTTTGTCTCTTATCAACCGGACCAAAGATATTCAGCGCGTTTGCCAGCCTGAAAATGTGGCTGTGGTAATCTTCATTTCCACGGTGCCACGTTTTTGACTTAGTTTGATAAATTGAAGCATGCGATCCTCCGGTGGCATCACCTAGCCTCTGTAGGAAAACACGGTGCTTGTTCGTCTGAGTACTTGGACTTAGTGGGTGCCCTCGGTGGTGTGCACGGTGCTTCCACGGCGGGTCAGACCACTAGTAAGGTTGAGCCTACTCTAGCACCTGAGCGCAGGACGCTTCGCGCAAACGATGAAACCAAAAGTTGGGTATGGTCACTTCAGGAGGGAGGAGTCGCTAATTATTTGACCATAAATTTTGATCGTGGCTCAGGTAATGAAAGTGCTGAAGTGCTTCCCATCTGACTGAGGTCCTTTAGGTCTCAAATAGCAGGCAGCCACTTTGTCAGAAAGCGGTTTCCAATGTGCTACCTTTTGCTATTCAAACTGCACTGTCAACAAGTCCTTTGCAAAAGCGGCCAATTGGGATTTTGGACGGGCTTTGCGTTGGTTTGGGGTGGCTCTGCGGTTGGTTTGGGGGGGGGGGGTTCAGGTTGGTTCAGAGTTGGCTTTTGCCGAAGCTACCGAAGGTAAAGCCAAAGAGCCACGAAAGCCAGACTGAACAATCGTACTCCTTAAACCTACCGGCGCCTGGCTTGGCTTTTTCTCGCAATGATGCCTTTGTGAGAAACTGTGTCTGCTTCCCGCAGCATTTTGCGCAGGCAATCTCAACTGTATGAGAAACAGCACATCTATGTACTCGCAGCAAAGAGCAAGCTGCTTCGCATCTCGTCTGGCACAAAGCACTTTCACCAGAAGTGGCCCCTCAATCAAGCAGTCATGACGTCAGATTGTGGCACTTGCATTTCCGCTCATTCCGCTCAAAACGGTGGCGGCGGCTGTGGTTGCCGCAGCCGCGACCTCTGAAAGATGTGGCCATGGGTCAAAATCCCGTACCCCCAGTGAACATCCCAATCCCCACCAAAATAGACTAAAATGGGTGGTGCACCTACCCAAAAAAGTGCCATTGGCTTTGACCCACAGCCATGCGGCACCTTGTCTAGTGGAGTGTGCGTGCCCCTTTCCGCGTTGGAACACCTGAAGTCCTGATGCTTGATGCCCCAATGCCCCATGCCTCCTCGACAGCTGCCGGACCGATTTTTGGCCAAGAGGGAAGCAAGAACCAACCTTGCGGCCGGTGCCCACAGATTCCCCAGCGCGCAAGTGCACAGCGAAACCACGCCGGCTTGACACACAAACGCTTGAAGTACCGGAAGCACCTGCCAGGGTTCTATGGTTTGTTGCTCACGCATGAATGATTCAAACTAAATGGATTATTTGCTTTTAACTTCACGCACCTCCGGGTTTGCAATTCGCCTGGGCCCGCAGGGCCGGGAAGCGGTCAGACCTCTTCAGAATCTCTTCTTCCAAACCGCATCGCCCACTCCAAAATTTGCCCCCGTCCGACCCTCCCCCCCCCCGACCCCATGTCGCCCGGCCAAAATCCCTGCTCCAGCTTGCGCGAAGCGAGCTTGCGAGCAGTCGGACCCCAGACTGCGGGAGGACCGATCCAGGCGACGGCCAAATTCCCCTAAAAACCGGTCAAACTCCCCTCTAGAAAGTGATCAAATCCCCTCTGAAACCGTAGAACCAGTCAAATCCCCTTCTACAAGCCAATAGAAACCAGTCAACTTCCCATCTGTAAAGACCGGTCCAACTCCGGTCAAATCCCCCTAGAAACCCAAATCCCCCCTAAAAACCGTAGAAACCGGTCAAATCCAAATCCCTCTAAAACTTCCCTAGTGCACCTTTGCTTGGCCCGCCATTCTGTAGCTCTCTGCGGCTCTGGCCGAGGCGGGCAACGCGAAGCGGTTACAATTATTTGGGAAGTGGACCGAAGTGGAACCCTGAGCTCAACCTTGAGTCTGTCCAACGCTTGCTGTGAACATGTGGAATGACATGCCGTGTGCCTTGATGCACATTTGGTGCATGTCGGAAACGCACTCTTGTCCGTGAGTTGGCTGCCTCACTGCAAGCCACCCTGCTTTCAAGTGTGTGTCTCTCTGCTATCTCAATCACGCTTGGATTCTTAGATGCTGGCATCCGAGCGAGCCTTCTCAAAGCCTGCGCGTGAAATTTTATTCAAGCGACCTCCGCGCTCCTCCCCGCTTCAAGCCTGCCACAGAGCAACACCACAGCTGACAGCGAGCCCAAGGATCAGCACGGTGTAGAAGAAGCCTGTGAAAGACAAGAAGCACAAGCGCAACCCTTCCCGAGAGGCAGGTGACATGCTCAGCCTGATGGCTTTCTGCCGCGTCCCCAAAGCAAACCGAGCCCAAGGTGAACTGAAAGGTAGAAGAACTTGTACCTGTCGCATTTCACGCTCGGGCATGGCGAAACGGCAAAGCACGAGCTCAGGCAGCGACCCCAACAAAGCAAACAAATCGAGGGTGGGCGTGTTGACCTAGGCATTTGCGGCGGCAGACCAAGGCCAGTGCTTCAAGTGGACGTGCTGAGCTGTCCGGCCGCGCCCGACATGAAGAGCGCCCCTTTCATCAAGGCAAGCTCGAGGATGAGCATCACCTCAGCCGCATGGATTTGGGGCTGCAGCTGGAGATTCTAGGGGCGCCCACCAAGGCTGAGCTGATGGTTGCAGACAAAACTTCAGGCGAAAAGTCCTCCTGAAGTGATCAAAGGCTGAAAACGGACAAGCGATACAAGTTCCACAAGAGTCCGGCCTGGATTCCACGCACCAAACCGTAAAGAACCACCTTGGGCGCAGTATGCCACGCCAACCTCACTTAATGCCTTTCTCTCGTGGCATGTGCGCCACGGTCAAACCAATTCGTGCGTCATGGGCATGTTTCCCTCAGCAAAACATCTAGACTCAAGGGTCGATCATGCCACGCCGGCTGAGGCTGCCACATACGTCACAAAGCCCATGGTTGGGATGTACAAATCCGGCTCCTCGCACCAAACCAAATTCATCGGTGCCCGCCTTTGACGCCTCTCTCCCGCTTCCTCGATGTCAAGCTCCAGGCCATCGATGATGCGGACCGTCCAGTCCTCAGAATGGAACCGACCAGCAGCTTCCTCGCAGAACCGAAGGCCTTCTGTCCACCCAACTCGCCATCTGTGGCCTTCTTCTTGGTGCTGCGACAGGGGGTGCGGCAAGCAACATGCTCACTCCAACAAGCAACACTAGCATTCTGCCCTTTCAAGCTCGGCAGAGTCGCGAAGGTGCACGAATTTGGCTTGTGCCCACATTGAACCAGCAGCCGTAAGCAAGATTGCCTAACGTAACTTGATGGCAAACCCTCACGTCCTTGCTGCATGTGAAACGTTGCTTCTCAGTTTGTGGAGGCTTTTCCCATGCCTTCGCTGCTCGCTTGCGGAATCTCTTCTCACCTACAATCCAAGCCTGAGCTGGAGAGCGAATCGCTGGCCTTGATCATCCAGGAAACAGGGCGATGGTTGACAATAATAAGGGCCCAGGCCTTGCCACTTCCTCTCAGAGCCAATCCTCCAGTCATTGCAAATTCGCGGCTCGCAGGATGCTTAGCTGGGCGTTTGACTTTCTTGCACGCACATCCACACGTCTGCACGTCTACACGCTATGCCTCCGCTTGACAGCTAAGAGTGACAAGTCGGTCCTGATGTACAGCAGCATTTGCCTGAACGTCTCCCACAATGATTTGGACCACACCGGTTCAGGGCGCGGCATGTGAGTCGAAGAGTCCACAAGGCCAAGAAGACCAGCACTGCCTGCACCTCGAGTGGCAGCCGAGCTTCGGTGGTATCTCACGGCATACGAAAAGTCTCTCGGTGTTCCGTTTTCGGGGGCTCCCCATTTTGGGACGTGGGCTTTGAGCCCCCGGCGCAGGTGGCCATAGCCTGGCCAGCCTGGAACTGGGCCAGGCGCAGCTCCCACTGCCTCGATCCGTCGCTCTGGCCGCAAAGAAAAACGCGACATGCGGAGGCCGGGCAGCCGGCACTGCCAGGCAGCACGAGGCTATCAGCCAAAGCACCGGCCTGGCAAGTTCTCTCGCGCGTGTCAGCCTTCGGAGCGTGATCCGGAAAAAGACTCGGCAGCAGGCATGACGGCGCCGCGGCTTCCAGCGACCGCAAAAGCTGCCGCCACGGTCAGAAACTGCAGCTGCCGCCACGGCATGCAAATCACTGAGCTCGCAAGTCTCTCTGTCTCCCCCTCCAAAAGCTTGCTCTAAGCCCGCAACCAGCGCCGCTTCATGCAGCTCATCCCCGAGGTATGGCCTTTCTGAAGCCTGAGCTCACCGAGTTGTTTTTCTTCGGCACTTGAAGCGCGGCTGGCGGCTGAGTTGCCAGCGGCTTCAACGCGGCAAAGTCTTTGGACCTCAGCGCTGCAATACCTCTCGTTTTGTCATTTGGCCATGGGTCAAAACCTCTAGTGAACATCAAAATAGGTGGCAAATGGATGGACATCCACCCCAAGATGGGATCGCCATAGGTTATGCCCCAGAGCCATTTTTGCCTCCCCAGGCAGCTGGGCAGCTGGCATAGATGTCCCCCAGCAGGTACAGAATGGTACCTGGCACTAGTCCCATGAGCGGAGAAGCGAGCTCTGTGAGGCGCACAAGCCAGAACCTGCAGACGGTCAGCCATAAAGACCATCTCCCCCTCCTGGGAGTCGTTGCTGCATAGTTTTTTGAAGAATTGCAACTGCTCAGTTGGAAGCTTTTTAGGCCAGAGCAGCTGATGTCAGGAAGGCATAATCCGCCTGCAACAGCGATGGCACTTCTGCACGGTACCCAGGATTGCCAGTGCCTCGCCCAAATCCTTCGCCATGGCGCTCAGGGCAAACGCAAAACAATTTGTCTTTCCGTGTTGGTTTGCTCGCTTTCCTCCAAACGTCCCATTCAAGCGGCCAATTTGCAAGCACACTGAAATGGAGTTTAACTAGTGAACTCTGTTTCAGTCCAAAGCTGACCAAAAGGCAGTTACATATCTGTGTTGGAAAGCTGCCAGACGGCGAAGCCCAAGTGACATGCCCATAAACCGAGCCACGGCTCTGCGCACGCCTGTTTGGTCCACAGCGCGCGTCAGACTGTTACACTCACAATGAAGCGTAGATGGGTTCCAACCTGGCAGCCCCCTCCCCAACCACTCAGAGTCTCAAAGTGGCGCAAGGGAAAAGGTCCTGACCTGATTTGGCGATGTTCCAACCTGGGTGTTGAAAAAAGTGGCACCTCCAGACTCAGGCGCATCGAGGTTCATGAGGCTCACGCATAGTAAGGATTCTCCCGAATTTGAGCTGCGAAACCCAGCTCCTGCGAGACTCTCAAGAGAGCTTTGTGGGAATCACGGGCAGCTTTTGTCGGCTTGCTCTGGTACCGTTTTCGGCTTGGCATGTTGAAGTGGGAGTTTCAGCCCAGTGAAAGCACCCTGCCGGACAAACAACACACACTCGATCGTTCTGCGTCCCCCGAGGTTCGCAGGCTCCTGGCAAATGGATTGCACCTTTTCTGCCTGCAGAGTGCAGGGTGAAATGTCCCAGCTTGTCTAGCCCCACCTCAAAACGATAAAATGTCGCGAAGATGCAGCGGCCGCCAGGCTTGCAACTGACAGACACATTCAAATTGTCTCTGCCTTCAAGTCTCAACCTCAAGTGATTACTGGGGAGCCAATCACGCCTCAGCAGCACCTCAGCTTTGCCCAAGCCAAATCAGTCAACAAGCGGCGCTGATTCAACTGCAGGGCACATTCTTCATGATTTTGCGCCACGGGATCGCGCAGCCAGTTCCCATCACCAAAGGGTGTATGCCTGGACAGGGTCCTTGCTTGTCCAAATTCCCAAGCAAAAACGAGCTGAGGCCTTAGCCCAAGACCAATCCGAAAGACGAGGGGGCTATGGTCTCGGTCGAGAGATCCTCCAGAAGTTCGAGCAAAGTCCGGAAACTAATGAGTCTGCAGCATGATTCCTAAGACAAGGCTATGCAACCTGGCCTGCTGCTGACAATCAAGAATGCAGTCGGTGGCAAAGAAGTGTGCTATCCAATCCTGCAAGGATTGGCGATGAGTCGACAAGCTGCAGCAAAGACTCAGCTACCAAAACGACCAGGCTGGGAAAAGTGGCTGAGAGAGCTGTATGCAACGCCGCCTGTCTTCAAAAGGTGAACCCAGCAAGCCCCCCACGTCAACAGAAACGCAGGAAAGGGCGTGGCAAGCAAACACAAGCGAGCGCGGCTCGCTTTGCACAAAGAAGGGACTCATGCACGCTGCACGGCTTGGAGTCCTTCCAAGCTGGCCACCAGTAGCTGGAAGGCCTGGCCAATGACGCAGAAAAAACCAAAACCAAAAAAAACACAGGCATGGACCGGTTCTGTTCACGAGCACAGCCTGTCATCAATGTCACAGGCGTGGAGGTGAAGCCTGCATCGCCTGAAGCCGAGTGCTGCAGATCCCGAGCGAATGCGGCGTGAGCATGGGCTGTAGCTGAGCAACCGCTTCATGTGGTTCACCAAAAAGGGTACCAATCTTGGTACCTCCGGGCATGCCAGACTTCATGCCCTACCAAAACACTTTGCAGCGCAATCCCATGCCTCGGTCAGGGCGCCACAAAATGGCAACGACACCCTGGCTGCTCTCTCCCCTCTCCCAAGGAATTGGGTGTGAATTCCACCAGCACCAACAATAGCGTCCAATCCTCATCACCAGCACTTCTGCTGCATGGCAGGGGATGTCCTTGAAGCAACCAAGTGTCTTCAGCTTTCCACGCCCAATGACCAGACTCAGATTGTGCAGCATGTTGGAAGTCTCTGACCCCAGACTTCGCGTCCTCCAGGAGACCCCAAGCCGCAAGGGCATGCAGGAAGCTGACGTAGGCCTGCGGATCTAGCAATGCAACTCGATCTTGACGGTCCGCGTTGGCTAAAAGAGCAAAACGGCCTGACAGTCTCGAATCCCGAGAACGATAGCAGAGCATAGAGAGAACAGAAAAAACAAACCAAACATGGATAGGCTGCATATTCATGATCTGCGCCCTGCCGGGCCTTCTCGCGCTCATTTGGTCTGCCGGCTGATTCCTGCTGGCTCCGAATCTCATAGCACGCAGCCAAATGTTGGGGTCCTGAACTGCTTGGATGAACTTGTGCAAAGTCTGCTCTCCCATCCACCTCCGAGCAATTTCTGGAGCCAAGCCACAGAACATTCTCAAGCGCCTCCGGGGGGCGGCGGCCGGGGGAGCTGCGACATGCCGGACTTGCGGGACCCGCTGGATGCCAATCGCTTGCACAGGAGCCGGATATGCCGCACAGGGCAAACCATTGACATAGTGAGGCACAGGACCCATCCGGAGCAGTTGATCAGGAGTTCCTTCGCAGAGTGCTTGGCCATGGAATCACTGGGATGCAAAGGCAATCAACCAAGTCCTGGCGACATGGAGTCAAAACTTGGAAACATCCCACGTCAGCCGCTTTAAAGCCATCACGGGCTCAAATGCTTCAACTTTTGCGAATATGTCAAAAAGGCAACATGAAATGCTGGCTCGTATCGCCGGAAGTACTACCTTGAGCCAAAGTGCCCGCATGAGCCATAGGCGCAAATTGACATTGACATGCAACCTCATCTGCATGATGCAAATGCAAAAAAAGCTTAGAGGTGAGAAGGCACCTGTGAAATGGAATCAGCTGCCACAGGAGCTTGCGCAGCACGTAGCCATGATGTACCTCTGGCCGATTCAAATTTTGAGAAGAGGACTGACTACCATGTTTCATTTCGGAGAAGAAAAAAAATGTGGACATGAATTCCCGCCTACATGTCCACCAAAGGGGTCCGCTGAAATTCACACCCGCACACCCACTGGGCTCCGGGCATTGAAGTACCGTCTTGTGATGTGCACAAATTGCGGCCACAGGCTGAGAGAGCCTCGATGGAAAGCTCAGGGCAAGGCTCGGAATAAAATCGGCCGAGGAGGGCGCTGGATGTCAGCTCTCGCGCAAACTGATTCATCATGGCACTCGTGACGGCATCAGAGATGTTCGCCTTTCACGGCCCCACGGGGCCCCAAACCCCCCTTGGTCAAAATGGAAGGGTGCCCTTTCGTGAACGTTTCAAGATTCACATTAGGAGGCCCTTTGCCAACGTCTAAATGCGAGCAAACCTGGCGACTGAAACACCAATATGTGTGTGTGTGTGTGTGTACTTGTTGCTCAAAGGGTTGCCACCTACTCCTGTGCTCTCTTCAAATCCGCTGTGTTCAATACATTGCTCAGCCATAGTGTTCATGAGTAATGTATTGTTGCAAATTCAGTTGCTTCAGGTTGTTGTTTCCCTCCTAAAGCAACCACGGCTTGGCATGCTGTTGTCTTCTCGCCATACTGCGTGGAAAGTCCGTTCAATCACCGCCTGCAAGGAAATCTTGGCATACAATGCAACTGCAGCAATTGTTTGAAGGTGCTAGAGTCATGACAAGCCATCCAAGCAGGAACCACATGGCAAAAAGAAGTATGCGGATAAATTAGGCAATGACGCGACCCAAGACTTCCAACACAATTGGTCACCTTATTCTGGCCAACTTTCCATGCCAACGTTCTCCATGGTTTACCTGGATGTCGACAAGAAAAAAAATGAGCAAGATAGCAAAGTTATCTAACTTGTGTTCGCCCAAATCATGGCCACTGGCAACTTCTTTCGAAAGGATGTCTATCAGCATGAATGTTCACAACTGGTTTTGTCTTCAAATACGGGAAACCAAAATGAAAAGGTGGCTTCCTTTTGGTTTTCTTTGGAACCATTCCAAAGGGTACCCACAAAAAAGAAACAAAAAAAACTCCCAAATCTCAGCATGGAACATGTAGTGAGTTTTGGATGATTCTTGGAAAAGATACCTCGGTGACATCCGCGGCTTGGATCCGAAGCAAAGGCCCAAAAGGTAGGCACTGCGACGGCCTCGGCTCTGCCAGTGGCAGCCTGCCCGCTGGCCATGCTTCCACCACGTCCGGTGCCGACATCCTGCGTTTTGCCCGCCACACGTAAAACGGCAGCAGCAAACGCTCCCGCCTCCCATCCGAGATCTTTGTCAGTGCCATCCATGACAAAAACAGCGTGCTGAACGTGCCACTCTTGCCTAAGGCGTTGCTTGCTACATGCTCCCGTTTCATCAGCGCAGAGTTTTTGTTCAAGTGCTGCCAATGCCTACACCTCCCTCATCCAGCTCAAGGACAGGCTCATCTCAAGTTGCAAGTTCAATTGAAAGGCCAACGGCTCCGCGTGAAAGATTGCTGCTTTCATGGGCCAAGTCTCAAGGCGGTGCTTTGATATTGCCAATTTCTCTGCCAAGCAATGCGCGTTTTCAAGTCTGTTCGTACATTGCACAGCGCAACGGCCCTGACCCGTCTGAGACAGACCAAGTCTTGGCCCTGCGAAAATAGCGAGTCTCAAGCTGGGCCCAGTGCAGGCAATGCCCACAACCGGGCCGCAACGGACCAAACAGTCTGTGGTGCTGTCGGTCTCGCTTGGAGCCACACAGAAAGGCCCCGAAGCCTTTGCCGTGTGCTCAAGGCTAACACCCGCAGAAGGCCTTGAGCGAAATGCTAAAAGCCTTCAGCGTAACTCGAAGGAGCGGCGGGCTCTGAGCGAAATGCCGAAAGCCTTAAGCACCATGCTCCAGCCTCAGTCTGAGAGGATCAACCCCTGAAATTGTATCTGATAGTTGCTGGTGGTGTTGGATGATGGCTGGACGATATGGGACAACAGCATAAACTCGTGCTATGGTGTAGTTGGGCAGTTATGATCCACTCAGTCATGGCCATCCAGAAATTGGCAGTTGGACTCCGCGTAGAGTGTCAAGTACGAGATCCTGCTGCTCCTGAGAGAGCGAGCACCACTGCAACGGGTGCGTGGCTACACGAGCATCAAATGTACCTATGTGAACTCAACATCATCCACTCGTTTTGTTGGGGCAGGCCCTCTTGCTTGGAACTCCGGACAAGCATGGTAGGCCTTAGCGGTTCTTCAGGCTTGTGCCAGGCAAAGTTGGAACAGTCTAAGTATATCGATGCCACGTCTGCTTAGGGCACCGGGACAAACGACAAAACTTGCCTCCAAATTGTAAAGCATCAGGCACAAGGGCACAAGATTCCCAAACATATATATATATATATATATATATGCTTATACTATCTCTATATATATATACACTGTATATACATACATACACATATACAAGTTGCTCCTGGACTGTGCAAACCTGCACTGCAAATCTCCGGCAGCCTTGGGGACATTCTGGAGCGTCTCGCGCAGTGAAGCAGCTTGCTTTTCCGACCTCGCCCGTATGTGGTCCATTGTGCTCCCGTGGCTACAAGACAAGTTGCATGAGAACTCGGTCCAGCGCTGGGATTCTTGCCCAAGCTCGTTTGAGCTTGAGACTGATTGACATCCCTTCCCAAAACCTTTGGGAAACGGCCAGGTGCAGTCCTCGCCAAGAGTTACGTCACAGAGTTGGGCAAATGAACTGTCCGACTGTCCTGTCCCTCCGCCACACCCAACGCATTGAAGAGCGCGCTCGGGATCGGGTCAAAGGGGGATGGTATTCCGCCTGTGAAAGAAGCATGGGGCGGTTTGTCTGACTTCGGAAATGGAAAAGACGGCGAACATGCCTATTTGGCTCTTCCACAGATTTTCCATGGAGTTCATGTGGTTGAGAAAGAGCGGCCAGCCACCTGCAATGTAAACGACTCTTGCAAATACACAATTCAAGGTGGAAATGCGCAACTCCAAGGGGGTGGCTTCCAGTGAGCTTAGCCTTTTTCCGCCAAGGGCAGGTTGCAGTCGTAGTTGCGGGTGATTCTCTCTAGGTCCCAGTATGCGGGCTTCTACATGTGTGTGTGTGCGCGCTTCTACATCGGATCTGCTTCTGTTCTATCTTCTCTATACGAGTCAATTGTTACGTCAAGTTGCCCTCTGGAGATTGGGGAGAGCATAGAGTGCTTTGCCGATAAGATGATCACAGTTGAGCATGCAGAAGTGCAAGTTCATTCCTGATATAACACCACAAGTCGATTCCACAGATTCCACGGAAAGAGCCTACTGCATGTTTTGTGTGTGTGTGTCTGTGTACGCTTCTGTATAGTCCCGGTCTGAAACGTTTCGTTATCCTCTCTGAACGCAGTTTTAACTGTTTGTGTCTGTCTCGGGGTATGCCTAGGGCATGCTTCTGCAATCTGCGTAGTCTGTCTGATCCTCTCGACATACGATTCATCTTTTCTTTGCTGAAATGCTGGTAGCCTGTGCATAGTTCCCTTCTGTGCTATTCCGTCCATACGTTCTTTTCTTCCTCTGCTTACTCTCCTCCATAGCTGCCCTTCTATGTCGTACATAGTTTGCCTTTTCTTCTTTTTCCGCTCCATATACAATTCAGTTGCTACGGAATAGACTTGTATGGCCCGCTCCGGGCGGGTCTGGACATCATTTAACTGAGTGCTCCACTCTCTATATGTGTTCCTTCCCAGGTGTGTCCGTGCTTTGTTTTGGTATCTGCTCGCGTTTGTTTACTTTGTCCTTTCCGAATACGAATCAGTATCTCCTGCATTACCCATGAAACATTGTGACATATGTGATATCACTTTATCTATGTGCTTGCTATGTGGGTACTTCTACATGTCTACTTTTTGCTTGAGCTCCCTCAAGGCTCGGCATCCCAGAATCCTGGCAACTCTGGCCTAGCAAGCGCAAAAACCCGAGCCTTGGCAGAAACGTTGTCGTGGCCCCTTGCCCATGCCCTAGGCACGCCGCAAGCCAAAAGAACACAAGCGCCGGCGAGGGGTCTTTGCCAGCCCCGCCTTCCTGTCGCATCCTTTCCTGAATCTCAGCACTCTGGAAACGATCCACCATATCTTGCACGGTTATTTTGAGCTATGTACGAACCCCTGCATTCGCTTATGAACATGGGTGATTTGTAGTACCACCATAGTAGGCAACCATGAGTAATTAGTGCGCCCCTACAGGCTTCGAGTTCAAAACCGTTATAACCACACGCTCAAAATGCTGCATGTTGAATCTTAAAAGTGTGACTTACAATTTGGAAGCGCTGCTGAGGTTTGCTAGATAAATTGCCAGCCTGCACCTTACTAAAGACCTGACAATATGTCCACTTCTGAGCCAGCGACTCCCTTTTTTCGCATCCTTTCCCTTTCCCTTTTCCTGCAGCAATGCAATGTTCCCTGAACTCGATCTTACGCACCGGCGCCTGGGAAAATGGTGCACTGGAAATCCTTGCGACAACCAGGGCACTCCCCGTGGAGTTGATTCTTCTGCGGATAGCAGTTGCCACCTTCAGAGACCGAGGCAAAAGAGGTTCGCATGTACATCTATCCCGAACCCAGCTCCAAGTCGCCGGCACAAGTCATAGGAGGGACATGCTGAACATGTGAAGCCTTACAGGAAATTGCGTCGCTGCCCAACATACATGCCTCAAAGTGCCAATCAGGCCACGTGGGCCGGCAATGGGATTTTTGCAATTCTGGCATTGGACACCGGTATCAGGCTGCCTGCAGCTGTACATGATGGCAATGACAGAAGCAACAAAAGCACCAAGATACAGACCAGCCAACATACCTGGGCCATGCAGGACAAATGGCAAGGCCTCTGAGCAAGTTCGCTTTTCTCACGTTGACCCCCAAACGCAAGGGTCACCCAGGACATTCGTCGCCGGTGACGAGTTTTGCCAGCTCCTCATGCACGAGTCACGAGTGGGGATGCACCAGGCATGTCACAATGTGGGTGTGTTTTTGAGGGTACTGTTTCCTAGTTAGCCAAACGCAAATGGCCACAGTCTTGCCGGGGGGGGGGGGGGGCTGCAATTTGCTACTTCGGCACACGAAAGACCGTCTACTGCTTGAGAAGTCCTCCAGGTTGGGCAAAAGACTCTCGGCGAGCCGCTCGCAAAAGCCGGTCTGCACCTCGGGGCACGATCTTAAAAAAAAGAAAACGACACTTCAGGCACCGATGGGCTGTGCCTCAAAGCTCAGCCCACGGAGAGCCTTCAGCATTTCTAGCATGGCCTCGCCAAGCCTCCGGAAAACTAGGAGGTGAAGGAGGTGAAGGAGGCGAAGGCAACGCTTGATGCAAAACACGGAGCCTGTGGTTGCCAGCGAGGCCCTGCGAACGACGTAGCAACTCAAGCCCTTCGCAAAGTCAGAAGCCTCTGCAATTTGCTTTGCATATGGCTCCAGCCCCGGTGTTGCTGCAGCCTTTTCCTCCAGACACCAATTGCCCGCCGTGGCTGTGAGACTCTCTCAAGGCCTGAAGGCCCCGCAGCACGTCCTTCACCTTCCTGCTCAAGCCATCTCGGGCCATGTGGTTGATCCTTGGCAAGCTCAGTGAAACAATGTAACAAGCATTGCCGGGCTGCACAAGGGCAGGACTTGTCAACCTTGCGAGCCACTCGCTGCGTCAGCAACGGCAGCCACTGCCTGGCCGTACGCCGGGCAGAAGCCCTCGCGTTACAGTTGAACTCAGACGGAGTCACACTGCCAGCGAGGCGAACATCGGCTCCGTCAGCAATTGCTCGACCTGTCAAATGGCAGAGATGGTGGGATCAAAATGCTATGGCATACTATGGCACCTGAAGCATTCGCAGGGCGTTCAATAGTCTTTTCGGCCCTCCGCCGTTGCCACCAGGTCCTGCAAAGAAGCTGGACCCTGAAATCCGCTGCTCAAAGCAAGGCGGGCCCCAAGCGCCAGGACCGCAATCGCTGGCTTCCTCGGCACAGACTGGCAGCCCCCAGCCCCTTGCCATAGGCCCCGCCTCAAGACCTGGAGGTGGCCCTTGTGGTCCCGCTGCTACAGGCCTTGCCACTGTTTCCAAGAGCCCTACCTTTCATGTGGTGAAATGTGCCTTGGTTGAGTGTTCTCTCCAGGTGAAATTGCTGACAATGTTCTTAAGCTTACAAATACAGCGGCTTCTTCAATCTTTTAAATCCGCCGACGCTAGCCAAGCGTGTAGTGGGATGCCTCTTGGGTCTCCGAATCTTTGTGGAAGCCTAAGGATTCGTTTAAAAATATAGCGAGTCGCAAAAAGCCACAGGCCTTCCGCCAGAGTGTTTTTTTTTCCCCCGACCGCGACTTTTTGGGCTCGTGGTTAGCCATGTTGGGCCTCTCGGAAAGCCTCGAGATGCAAATGTGGCTCTGCAGAGGCGCACAATCCCTCATATTCTCCATACATGCGCTCTCAAAATTATTCCCATCATGTTTATTGAAGTCAGTTTGGAGGGTGTTACTCTATTTGCTTGAATCTCCGTCGTCATTTTTTGCCTGCATGCGTGCGTCGTGCGCTCTCCCCGGCATCCCAAGCTTTGATCTGTCGTTTGGTTGATGCTGGCTTGGTAACTCCTCACTTGGATTGGAACATGTGTGACTTGATTGTTTCTATGGATGTCAATTGATTCTTTTGGAAAGATCCTAAGAAAAGGCTCCATACGTCTGTCTCTCTGACACATTGCTAGTCCACAATCTCAAACAGTCGGGCTCTCACTGACTCACTGTGAGGTCGCGTGACCAACACATTAGAAGAAGTGCAAGGTGATATCGTCATATTATGAAGGATGTTGTCAGGCGCACGCCATGTAGCTGTGTAACCAACAAAAAATAATGCTGATACTAAGCAACTGTAGCATGGCTGCTACAAACAAGATGTTGCGCAGCAGGTAGCGCTGTCGGCCCGATTCTCAGAACTCATGCATCTCACAGGTCAGGCGGCTCGTCTCTCCCCCCTCCCGCTAGGAGCAGCTCGGTGCATTTGCACTTGGAGGATCTGCTTCCGCAACTTCTCTCCTTTCAAACGTCTTGCACGTTGAGGTGTGAGCTGGCGATTCGCAGAGGGTTTGTCGGGTTTCTCTGAAAAGCCACGCTGGACCGTGTACGTCCTCTTCGCTTCTGGCTGTTCCGAGTCCTTTGCTTTCGGCAACTCCACCTTGAGCCTTCGGCAGAGCTGCTGCGTTGGTTCGCATGAGCGACGGCGCTGCAGCCAAGCAGCTTCAACACACGGCTGTTCTTGCTCTTCTGCCTTGATGCTGCACTTAAACATCGCAGCATCAAATAAGCTCTAGCTGAGGCCAAAGCAGCTCCAAAAAGTCAGCAAAAGTAGATTCAGCCAGCGTGCATGAATCCCCCTCGTCATCCTCCTCACATGGATGCTCGGGTTTGAAACGGATTGACACTCAGAATAGCAAAAGGGAAAGGCTAGATCTGCGCACAGCTGAGCATAATTCGTAGAACTGGGCACACACTAAGAGAACATGTCTTTCGCTCCGCTTGAAGCACAGCGTGTGCAAAACTTTGCTGGCTGATTCTGTCTCTGGTCTCTGGCCGCAACCGAAAAGAACAGATTCTGCATGTTGAGATCCGGACGTACTTTAGAAAAGCGCCACCTTCACCCAGTTTGGCATCAGGACCTGCAAGTTACGTATCGGATGTTTGATGTTTGCAAAACGCTTCCTCTCTGGCTCTGAGGCAGCTACAACCCTTGGAAACCAGTTTCAGGATGGCTGGGAAGCTTGGCCTCGGTCTGCTGTGTGTCGACTCATTTGATCTCATTCCCATGAGGCGTTGGCTCTTCTGAGAGTGTTAGTCGGTAAATTTCACCATTCGCACAGTGAACTTTCACGACGGTCTGGCAAAGGGCTCTGGCCTTTTGGTTTCTCACAGTCAGCACATATGATTTGTTTGCACACACACACACAAACACAGGCAGATCGACCGTCGCCATGTCCCAGCAGCGCGCAAAAGCAGACCTAAGCACAGGTTTTGCCCCAAGCTGTTGCACTGGCAAGGAAACGATGTGACACACTAGGACATATGTTGTGCGTTCTTCACATGCAACATGCATACCGTACCTCGTAAGCCCTTCGGACAGCCAAGGCACACTGCCGGAGGCTTGGCGATTGCAAAAGTGCTGTTTACTTCAGGGCAACGCCTAGAGTGCCTAGAGCCAGCAGCTTACGGAGGCATTCAGCCTTGACAGTTGACACCACATCCGCGCTGCCAAAGTCCAGGTAAGGGAAGCACTAAAACAAACACCTGTGCATCACTAGATCACTAGAGTGCTATAGGATGCGGGATGTGCATGTATGTGTCATCTGAGCGTGAAATTAGTCTGCATTATGACGATGCCGGCGTAAAAACTTGTCAGTCATGAGGGGTGGTCCCGTCCTAACGTGCAACTGTTGACTGTATGGCAAAACTGGATGATACGGCCAAGCAAGCACTAAGTTCTACAAAACAATCGGGTGTGGTGGCCTGATTTAGTACGATGTGCTTGTAAAATGCATACGTGACATGTGCCAGGATGACGCTTAGTGCAAAGAGTGCTGAATATGTGATAAGTCAATAATATGTGCGGCACGCGCTTCGCAGCGAATGACCCAACGGCATGGGCTTAAAGCGTGTTCCGATGTGGGCCGTGATGTGACGCAAGCATAATCATGTGAATTGGTGCAAGGTGGTAGGATGTAAATGATGCAGTCTTGCAGGTTTCGATATGGGTGTGAATATTGATTGTTGGAGATTCATGTCCACCTACCGCCGTTGAGAGGGTTCCCAATATTGGAGGCAAGGATATGGTTCTTGGGCACAGGTAAGGAACGCATTTGTACTTCGCCCTGCAACTTTGACACAAGTAGCTAAACCAAAAACAACGCCGCACTACACCAGGTACTCTCCGGAAGCAATATCAGCAAGCCGCCATTCCAGTTGGACACATGCAGAACAAACCCAACAAGTACTACAAAACACTAAAGCCCGAACACGTTGCATCAAAACAGAATCACAGTTTCAAAATGTTGAAGTGGAAGAGAGCTGAAGAATGCCTCTGCCCGAAACAAGACGCAAAAACAATTGTGGAGACCAGCCTCCAATTCATTTCAGAACCGGCAATGAAATCCTTTCTTAGAAGTTTCCTTCTTGTCAACTGTCACAAATCAAATCTGTGCAAGGTGCACGGCCTTCCAATGATGCGCTAATCACACTACATCTCTTCCGGGATATGACGCTGGCAGCCATGCAATGTGGTTGCAGCTCAATATTCATTGTGTGCCTCAATGGCACTGGATGTTGGTGAGCAATCTCGATTTCCTAGTGGCAACTTGGTGAGTGTACCCAATGTCATTTTCTGGCAGCAAGAAGTGACTGTTGGGGCTGACTGCAGCTAGAATTGCACGCGTGCAATGCTAGCGCAAACCTAAAGATGCATGGATTTCTGGGGGTCGTGCACTTCGACGAACTTGAACAAACACTCCTCCAAAATCGCACGTTTGCCCCCTCCACTTGTTGACAGCTGGGTACCCTTTTGAGGGTTTAAAGGGGAGCCAAAGGAACCACCCACTTTGAGAGTCTCCATTTTGAGGCACATCCAAATACGAAACTTGCAAGGGCCTCCAAGCAAAACGCCGTGCCAACAAGTGGCACACAATGCCATGCAAAAACAAATGCAATCCAGTACAATGAAAAGCAATGCAGTCAAATGCGATGAGATACTATCAACGCAGTATCAGGCAGTAAATGCAATGAAAAGCAGCGCAACTTAGCGAAATGAAATGCCATGGAATTTCATGCAATGAAATAAGCTCATTTGCAATGCAAAGCTCCAAGCTACGTAACCCGTTTCAATGCAGCGCTCTTTGAAGAGTGAAGTGATGTACTCACTTTGATAAAGTGCAAGATGCCAAAGCAGAACAATGCAATACAGCGCATTCCAAGACAGTGTAGTATTGTATTGTTGTATAATGCAATGCAATGCAAATTCATACGTAAACAGATCATCGAAATACAACGACAGAACAATGCAGAGCTGCTCAAGCAAGTAAGCTCAATTCGAGTACTGTAACCGGGTGCACGGAGATGCAATGTTGAGCAGCAAAATACTATTTCACTGCAATTGAAAGGAGCTCGATATGTTATGTTGCCATACGTTGCGAAGTCGCTGGTGTTTTGTTTGAAAGGCAAGACTAGCATGTTTATGTTTTGCCCGAAAGGGAAGGGTCAGAGTACCCAGCATTCTTTGTTGGAAATAACTTAGGGTGGCCAAGGCTTGGTAAAGCCCTTTGATAATCAATACGAGGCACACTTCATTGTGAGTCAAGACTATGTACCACATATCCAATGAACTTCAGCTGAAACGGGATCGACGTGTCGCAATTGCTGTCCTTAATGAATATATTCGGAACATTTCGCAAGTAGAGCAAACTGAGGTGCTGCCTTTCAGGAAATAGACAGGCAATTACTCGGTCCGCAAATGGTTTACTCCGGCACTGGACAGAACGCCAATGGCAGCGTTGCAGCGCTGTGCTGTGCATTGCATATTGCAGTCCACACAGCTCTTGCTCTAACACAGACCTACGGTATGCACAATTCCCACCTGTACACTGCTGTAAGGTTGCACGGATGACAGAGTCATGTTCAATGACGACGAGGCTCTCAGGCGGCAGTTGACACTGGCTGGTTGTAGAGTCACCATCTGGGAGCCCCAGTCGTCTGAGAAAAGGACAACCAAACCACTCTGTGGCCGTCATTCCTTCCCTGTGAAACAAACGACTTGCTCATTGTCGAGGATCCTTAAGTGTGGCAGCGCTGCTGACAACGAAAAGAACTGGGGCACGGCCAAAATGACTCCAAAAGTACAAGGGAAGATTATACTATATCCCTAGCTTTTGTGGCGACTTAGTGAGTCCCTCCCCCCATGTCCCTTTGCACCACAGACCACAACGAAAATTTGGAGCGAACCTTATATCTTCTCAGAAGTGCTTGCCCCCAGGCATCCGGCACCAATGCATCGCTACCTCTGGAAATGGCCTCGGGCCAATCGCATTCTAAAACAGACAGGCCATCCTTGATCTGGGTGGGGTTGCTTTTCACTGAAGAAAGAAGGAAACAGCCCTCTCTGGTGTTCTTTTCTTTTTTTTGGGGGGGGCCAACATTTTGAGACAAACCCAAATGAGCTGCGACCAAAACCAACACCTACTAAAAGCAACCGCGTTCACCTACCGACCGTGTGGCAAAATACGGGGGGTGGGAGGGTTGGGGGGTTGGAGTCACATGTAAACCAGTTTAATGATGCCGCCACTGCCGCCAACGCGCGCGTCACTTTCACGCACACCCTTGCCAACGTCAGCCATGCCTAGACCGAAGCACTGCCCAATATTCTCAAAAAGCGAAAGCTGTTGCTAAGACGTCAGATGCAAGCACACTGTCTTCATTAGCCTTGGGTTGACGGGGCCATCAGGCAGCTATGGTGCGCGCTGGAAACTGAAACAGTTGCGCAAACACCAGTAACCTGTGCTGAATCAAAACCGCGCCGAGCACACAAACGCTCAAAGGAGCGCATTGCTGTGAAAGACTAAGCAACGCAGCGAGAGAATGTAGCACCATGAAAGCACAGCCGCGCGCAAAAGCCGCTGCATCCAAGCCAGAATCAGCAAATATCAAAACCAGATTCACGGTTCGTGATGGCCTCCAAAAATGCTCTTGCTGGACCCACAAATTGACGTCTCGAACCTGCCCACCAAAAAACATTGTAAAACAGGCACGAAATGACACTTGTTTCCTGCAGTAGGCCGGTTCAACCTTTGCGACATTACACCAGCACAGACCCCAAATAGCAATGATAGCACACCAGCACCTCCAACAGCACCCCCCGAAGAGCGTCCCAAACAGCACCCGGCCGTCAATCGAGCACCCGCGCCATCACTAGCATCTCCAACAGCACCCCAAACAGCATCCCAAAACAGCACCTGGCAGCACCCCAAACAGCATGCCGCCTGCACCTTGCCGTCAATCTCGCAAAAATGCGCCTGCACCGTGACCCTAAGAGCACCCCAAACAGCACCCCCCCCCCCAAAACACCCAGCCGCACCCCAAACAGCATCCCAACACGCCACCTGCACCAGCACCCCAAGCTGCATGCCCCCTTGCACCCTACCGTCAAGATGCAAAAATGTACCTGCACCGTCACCTGCACGCCCGGTAGCACCCGGGCGTCAGTATCGTAAATTGCGCGCGCACCGTCACCAGCACCTCAAACAGCTCCCCAAACAGCATCCCAAAACACCACCAGCACCAGCACCCCAAGCTGCATGCCCCCGTGCACCCTACCGTCAAGATGCAAAAACGCGCGTGCACCGTCACCCCCAAAACAGGACCTGCACCAGCACCCCCAAACTGCATGCCCCCTAGCACCCTACCGTCAATCTTGAAAAGATGCGCCCGCACTGCCACCTCAAACAGCACCCCAATCCGCAAAAACCAGCACCCCGAACTGCACGCCCCTTAGCACCAGCCCATCAATCTCGCAAATCACTTCCCCCTCTTTATTAGAAGTTAGAACCCCTATAGCTATCCGGGGAATGATCAACTTGCGACATGATCAACAAACACCGCGGTCACAAAAAAAGCGCGTTACCTACTAAAATGGCCAATAGGTTTTTTGGGCGTGCTTATGTCGGAACAGTTCCACTGCTGTCCCTGACGGCGCCCCTAATTTTGACACGCAGCCATACTCTGCCCATAGAAACCAAGTCATATCTCAGAGCGCCACAGAGTCAACTTCTTGGCTGGTTGATGCTGCAACATTCCCACCTTGCCAAGGAGAAAGGGACCGCAGCCCACTTGAATGCAGGCATACAATCTTAAGCACGTCTCTGAGCATGGGCACATTCGACGTTTTCATACCAGGCATCCATGTTGACACTGGTGCCTTGAGGGAAAGAAGCAGAGCAACGACATGTGGCATGGCTCTGGAATATCATTGGCTCAGTTTGCAACTGGTGGTGGTGATGGAGGTTCCTGGCATGCGCGCATTGCGTTGGCACTTCGTTTCTAGCCGTGACCTCGTCGGATTCCGGCGGAGCTTCCGCGCCGTCGGAATCCTGCGGATCCCAAAATCAAGGCAGTCAGGATGCCACGGTACATCCCCAGGGTCCGAGGCCGTCTCTGCCGCACCTCGGCC